TTTGTGCTCAGATATCTCATTTCAAAAATGTCACTTTCTGCTTATTCAATGCTGCCTTCATTATACTATTTTAAGCACTAAAATTTGTGTTCTGGAGCTGAACAGGAATTATTGTTTCTATCTTTGGGCCTATTAGAAATAATTCAAAATTCATTCAAGAGCAATAAAAATCATCTTTTTATTATGGCTGAATTTAGTTAAATGTTGAAATTTGCAATGTAATTTTTATTGTCTTTTATCAGCATTATTTCAGCATCTATGTACACAAATCAAGACTATTTTTAAGTACCTTCTAAAGAAATGACCTTTTAAACATGAATTTTTCTTTAATTTTTAATTCCCTAGAGTGAGGTTAAAGTAGAATAAATTATATGACAATGTTGTTTAAAATTTCAGACTTTGCTTTATACAGGTAAACATAAGGGGGAAAAAGCATGTATGACAGTTGAAACAAATTTTCATTGCTCCCTGAATTATTTACTCACTACTTGGACTAAGGTAAAACTAGATGATAAATGGCAAATGGAGAGGAAAATCAGTTTATTAGAAAAGAAATGGTTTCCTCCTCTGATTTTCCAGAGAGAACCATGAGATTGCAAGGGGGAGGTGGAATGGGTAGCAGATATTGCCTGGAAAAAAATTATCCCAATATTGAAGGAGTGAATCTGTTTATTCCTCCCGATCATCTGTAATTTGCTTAACACTTTACTCTCTAAATAATCCTCAATCCTCTCGTTTCAAATTTGGATCAATACAAAGGAAGAGGATCAGGAAACAAAACATGCTTGAGTTATATGGATCTGACTGCATCAGGCTCTTTTCACCATATAGGGAAGAGGAGAGAGAAGAAGCTTGCCTGGGTAATGAAGGATTGCTTGGGCATGGTTGGCTGAAGAAATGCTGTGGCTGGTGGGCAGCAGGACAGAGTGGAGCAAGGAGTCAATATGCCAAAGCAAATAACAGCAGCAAACTAAAAACATCTGGAAAATGGGTCGGCATCAAATAGTGTGTGCTTTGGCACAAATCAGAGATTGGAGAGTCAGATTGAGAAGAAGAACCAGAATAACAGGCCAAGTGGTGGAAGGGTGCGCCTGAGTGGGTACCTGTGTAGAGCATCTCCGTATTCAGCTTTAATATGTTCCTGTGACATGGTTTTAGGCGGTGAGGAGGTATAGGGCAGGGGCAGGTGAAAATTACATTTAAAAGACTGGAGAGGAATTGTATTCATTCTCAAAATAAAGCTAGTTAAAGTATTCCAATGTCTGTGGTTGAAATTAAAGTGGGTGCTCATCATTCAACTGTACAGGGTATTTACATAGGGCTCAGTAAATATACTGTTGTCTAGGTCAGCTCAAATTGCCATAACAAAATACCATAGACTGGGTGGCTTAAACAACAGATATTTATTTTCTTATAGTTCTTGAGGCCAGAAGTCCAAAATCAAGATGCCAGCATGATTGGTTTCTGGTGTGAGCTCTCTTCCTGACTTGTAGATAGCCACCTTCTTTCTCACTGTGTCCTTACATGGTGGAGAGAATGGGAGAGTGAGCATGCTCTCTGGTGTCTCTTCTTTTTTTTTTTTCAGTGAGGAAGATTGGCCCTAAGCTAACATCTGTTGCCAATCTTTTTGCTTGAGGAAGATTGTGGCTGAGCTAACATCTGTGCCAATCTTCCTCTATTTTTGTACGTGGGATGCTGCCACAGCATGGCTTGATGAGCGGTGCATACATCTGCGCCTGGGATCCGAACCCGAGAACCCTGGGCTGCTAAAGTGGAGCACACGAACTTAACCACTACGCCACTGGGCCAGCCCCTGGTGTCTCTTCTTATAAGGGCCCTAATCCCATCAAGAGGACCTAACCCTCCTGACCTCACCTAAACCTAATTATTTCCCAAAGGCCCCATCTCCAAATACCATCACACGAGGGGTTAGGACCTCAACATATGAATGGGGGAGGGGGAGGGCACAATTCAGTCCACAGCAACTGTCAATTTTGATCATCTCAGAGTCACCATACGAGTCACATATTATATTTTATTCCCCTTGTTAGACAATATCTGTACTGTCATGTGCCCCATAACGACGTCTCAGTCAAATATGGACTATATTTACGATGGTGGTCTCATAAGATTAGTACCATATAGCCTAGGTGTGTCGTAAGCTATACCATCTAGGTTTGTGTAATTATGTTCTATGATGTTCGCACAATGACAAAATTGCCTAATGATGCATTCCTCAGAACGTACCCCCACCATTAAGCGATGCATGACTGTACACATTAAAATAATCAATAAAAGACTGCAGATCTGAAAGTTATTAAATGCTCATGCCATGTAATTTTAGAGTTACATTTGGTTTGGCATTGAAATTGTCCTCATGATACAAATGATTGTCCAAATTCCTTCTTAATGAGTAGTTGTTCTACCTCAATTATAACCATGTTGTGTTCTAGAATAGAAACGTATTTGTCTTAAATCATTTCACAGATATCTAGGGTATTTATTTCATTTTTTTCCATTTCTTTTGGCAAACAAAATGAAGTGTCATTTGCTCCCAGTTTGAGTGTAGCCCAAGCCTTGGTCTTGCTCATTCCAAAGGCCACCTTCTAACCTAAGTGGGAAGAGGGATGTTGGCTCCAGGGTTGTTCATGAGGCTGCTGCTTCCCTGAATATCGTGTCACTCCCAGCTCTACTATTGACTCCTCACTGCCTGGGAATCTTGGGCTATGGTCTCCCGTCAATGCAGTGCTGCTACCTAGGCTTGGGCTCAGCAAATGCTTGAATTCCACCTGTCCTGTTATTTTTCTCCATACAACTATCAGAGTTTAGGTTGGAATATCAGACTTTAGTGAAGGGTCAAAGAAAACGAAAGTGAATTATGATTTAGGAGGGAGAAAAAATGAAATCATATTCCAAATATGATTGTTCCCATATAATGCATTATCCATCTCATGGACACACATTAATTGCTAGCTTTAGGTTAACCCTGCATTCACAGAGCACCTCGCTATTCAGACTCCTTTCCTCTAAGGATTCCCCCAACCCCACACCATCCAATCCCTAGAACCCAACAGTCAGTGACAAATATTTTCCAAGAGTCTGAGTTACTTGAGTTACTTAGCCTACAATGATACCGTGAGGTGGAGGATGGCAGGAAACAAGCTTCAGAACAATAGTTTGGGTGGGCTTTTATTCTTCTAAGTCCTGACTTTTTCAAAGTCCCTCTAGTACTAAGTCAACTTTGTTCATTGATTTACAGTTTTACTTCATTCAGGCTCAGATTCTTTATGTAATCTGATGACTTATTTAAATCATATGAAAATTAACATACACGGTAGATTTCAAAACCAGTAAAATTCATGACCAATGGGAGATGCAGAGAAGAACTATTGGTCACTTTGGGTCCCTTGTAAAGAATCGTCTGGATAGTTTCCACCCTATATATATCTAGGCTTTTCTCTTTGGGCACTAAAAGACACCTTTGCTATACCCTCCTGGAAAATGACATCTAATTTTTCCTAGTATGGGTTAAAGGAAAAGTCGAGATACATTACGAACTTTCCCTTCAAAAAGCTGTTTGATTGTAGTGAGTAAAAGCATCATCATAGGCACAGTGGAACAGAATATTTGAAAGCAAGAATGTCCCAGAAAAGGGAGAGAGAGCCACTTCTAGAATATTTAATTGGTTCTCTTTCTCTGAAGGCATGATTGACGTGTACAGCAGACACCTAACTAATCTTTGCCTCTCCTTTAGTAAGTTTTAGAAAAGTTCCGGTCATAAGTATGCTAGTTGAAAAAAAGGAGATTTCAGGTGTTTCCTGATTTGTGCCTCGAGATCCCTCTCCCTTAAGGCTGCAAATTATAGAGAAGTTTGTTATTTTCTCATAGTTTTACACCTCTAAGTCATACTGTCAACTTACATTATAAGCTACCATTTACCACTAGCAACTGCATTCTGCCACATTGCATAATAATGATAATCATTGTAATCATATATCAACACAATGAGATAATGAGATAATAACAAGACTCCAGGACCTTCCTTGCATGCTAAACAATTGATTTCAGTCACAGACATGTTGCCAGCCTGTTCCACCCTACTGTACAGTTAAGTCAGAAATTTATGCTCCATCACAAGGGGTGCTTCGAGCAGGCTGTGGGATGCACCAGTACACATATCTGTTGTGAGTTTCCAGAAGTTATTCTTGAAGCTTACACATCATTCCCTGGATTACTCTCTTGTAAAACTCTCGAGGGGGGTCTGACGTGTCAGTGGACCATATCTAATAAATTCATTCCAAGACAGCATTTGGGACATCATAGGAGATCTTATGAACAGAAACAGACAACTCCACCGTAATCAACAATACCTGGAGATTTGGAGATTAACTTGTCTAGCCTCACAAGATTTTCACATCAATTTCCCCTGAAGTATCAGACCCATCTGTAGAGTAGTTATTTATCTGAACCAAGAGAGAGAGATTAAGTCTAGCAGGCTGGGACATTTTTATGCTAAATGAAAGCAAGATGTGATCATGTGCAATAGCCACATCACTACAAAGGCTCAATCCTCATGGTATTTTTGTGACCATTTGTGATAACAGAAACTCTAGATTTTTTTCCCCTGAGTTTCTCGCTTAATTCTTGGAGGTTAATCTTTATGAAATTTGTGATTGTTTTTCTCCAACATGTTTCATCTGAAGGTTTCTATTTAGAAATTCTAAGGCAGAGGGACAAATAGTTCTGGTCTTAATGCATTTATCAGTGTTGGATTATTAATATTAGTTTGAAGATAAATATTGCTATTGTTGTGTCATCAGGTTTTTCTAAATATGGTAAATGTTTGACTTTTGTTTGATTTTTAGTTTGAGTCTTAAGCTGGAAATGAAGCAGACTACCCCTCCCATCAAAAGTTGATAGTAGTAAACCCAAGTGCAAATCATTTTTGAAAGCTATCCTGTTGCACTCATCTATTTTACCTTTTATTTTCCTTCTTTTAGTGTCGGCCAAACCAAGACCCCACAGTGATGAATATTCAAAGAAGATTCCTCCTCCGAAACCGAAACGGAACCCCAACACTCAGCTTAGCACATCTTTTGATGAAACGTATATCAAAAAGCACGGGCCCAGGAGGACGTCGCTCACGCGGGACTCTTCCCTGTCCCAGGTCAGCAGCCCGGCGGGGGACCCCGAGGAGGAGGAGCCCGTGTACATCGAGATGGTGGGGAACATTCTCAGAGACTTCAGGAAAGAGGATGACGATCAGAGTGAGGCCGTCTACGAGGAAATGAAATACCCCATTTTTGACGATCTAGGCCAAGACTCCAAATGTGACCTTGACCATCACAGTTGTTCTTCACAGTGTGCTACTCCCACGGTGCCTGACTTGGACTTCGCCAAGTCCTCAGTGCCATGTACTCCAAAGGGTTTGCTTTGTGACATCCCCCCGCCCTTTCCCAACTTGCTCTCCCACAGACCCCCGCTGCTGGTGTTCCCGCCAGCTCCTGTGCAGTGCTCCCCCAACTCCGATGAGTCTCCGCTCACCCCGCTGGAGGTCACAAAGCTTCCTGTGCTGGAAAACGTGTCTTATATGAAACAGCAGGCCGGAGCATCTCCATCCGCGCTGCCCTCTCATGCCCCCGGCCATGCTAAACTGGAGAAAGACCAGACCGGAGCCCTAGGACCTGTTCCTGCTGCTTCTGTGCTCTCCTCGTCCCCTCCCCCGCCGTCCACTTTGTACCGAACGCAGTCTCCCCACGGCTACCCTAAAAGTCACTCGGCCTCCCCATCCCCGGTGAGCATGGGGAGGTCCCTGACGCCGCTCAGCCTCAAAAGGCCTCCGCCCTATGATGCCGTGCATTCAGGCAGCCTCTCAAGGAGCTCTCCATCAGTGCCTCATTCGACCACCAGACCGGTGTCGCAAGATGGGGGCAAGATGGTCAACGCTGCGGTGAACACCTACGGGGCGGCTCCGGGCGGCTCCCGGTCCAGAACACCCACGAGTCCCCTGGAAGAACTAACCAGCCTCTTTACCTCGGGACGAAGCCTGCTGAGGAAGTCGTCCAGCGGCCGCCGTTCTAAAGAGCCTGCCGAGAGTAAGTGCACAGATTATAGAGGAGCTAATGTATGTATGTAATTTATGACAAAAATAAAATGAAGCCCACTATATACACATAAGGCATGTAGTACGTGAACTTCAGTCCTTTCAGTTGAAATCTCAAAATTTATTTTACTTTTGCCATGCTAAAGAAAATAGTGTGTTCTGAAGGCACTAACAATGACAATCTGAGCGATATAACATATCTAATTAAAAAGAATTTTTTAAAATAAAATATAAAATCTAAATTCTAGAAAGTCTGAGAAAGAAAACATCCCTATGGAATTTTTAGTCAAATTATCTTGATTTGGGGGGAAAATTATACTTTCGAACACGGAATTGATAAATGTTAAAATTTATCTTTATCTTATATTAAAAATCTTCTTGAGCAAATCTGTATTAGAAAGGCTTTGCTGGAAAGAAAGCAATTCAGGTAGAATTTAGTACCTTTTTTTTTAACATAATGAGTGATTTTCTCCGCGTGCTTCATGTTATATTGTTACCTTCGCTCTAAACTAGAATAGGCTTATTTCCCTTTTAATAGCCATGGTAATTAGCATCTTATTCCTATGGTACTCTTCCTAGACCTATTGATATATAAATTAAGGAAAAATCGCTAAGTGATAAATAGGTGGTGAACATTATATTTACCACTGAATTTCAAAGACCAGGAAATGTCTCTTTCTGAATGACTAGTCCTTTTGTGAGCCTCAAATCACTCCATAAGTGTATAGTAAAGTCAAGACAGATTGCGGTTTTCTCGATGTCCATCTCATTAAATTACACTGATTTCCCTTATTTAAAAATGCCTTAAGCACTTAAGCTGATAATTAATCATTTACATCTCAAATGATCCCACTACATGGTTTTGTTATTTATCCAATCATACAGTCACACTGAGGACCTTCTGCAGAGGAAAGGAAATCTTCAATACTTCGCATAATGAAGATGATGATAGCATTCCTCAGATAATTAATATTCATTGGTAGTTGTAAGCCACTTATCTTGTCTTTTTTTTTTTCTTTACCCAGATTGGTTTATGAAAGCATTAGCTGCTTAAATAATCCTCCCCCAAAAAACATTTCACTTACCTGACTGAAAGGCAACAATTTCTAATATATTAGACATGTCTGGAGTTAAATGTACACATACAAGTGTACACTATTATTTTTTAACTTATTTTAAAAATTGAATTAAAAATTAGAAACAACCTATTTCTAGAGTAGTGGTTCTCAGCTGGGGGGATTTTGCCCCCAGGGACATTTGGCAATTTCTGGAGACATTTTTGGTTGTCACAAGTGGGGATGCTACCAATATCAAGTATAGCGGTCAGGGGTACTGCTTTATAGCCTACAATGCACAGGACAACCCACCACGAGAAAAAAAAAACAAGAGGATTCTCTGGTCCACAATGTCAATAGTGTCAAGTTTGGAAAATCCTGATCTAGATAATTTATTAAAATTTAAAGTTTCTTCCAGATAATTGATTTGATTTAAACACAGATCAACTAAGGTTTTTAGAATAAGTTGGAGAAAAACATTTTTTTAAAGAAAAATATTTTACTTTCAAAATATGTAATGGTTAGTGTGAAATTAATAGAAGTTTCATCCTAGAATTGGTGAAATTATAGGATTTTCTCCCTACCTACCAGTTCCTTTGGAGGATCCTTAACAGCTCCAGCTGGCAGCTATGCCAATTAGCTAGAAAAAGTATATGTAAAAGAAATGATTAACTAATGAAGTTATTTCAAGAAAAATCCATCTGTTAGAATCAGTCTATGTGCTATATGTCACAGACTTCTCCATTCGACTCCAAAATGAGCTGTGTGTGCTTCTAAAACAAAGCTTGTACATGGCAAAGAGATCCTGGCTCTTTAGAGCTCTTAGGGATCTGGAGATTGAATTCCTTCTCATGTGCTGGTAACCATGTATCAACTCTTCAGAGAAAAGGCATGCCCTGAGTTATATTAACTTCAATATTTTACTTTATATAAATGGAAGGGAGGAAAAATGCAGATGGCACAAATGAATTATCTAATGCTATTTACTTTTGACTCCAGAAGAAAATAGAAACACACTAGCAGATATTAACAAATCATAGGGGCTCTCAGAATCTTGCTGTAAACCAAAAGTAGATCCAAAATTGTTCATAATTGAGAGTTAACCAATAATTACGGTTGCAGTACCCTCAGAGATACAACTGTTCCCTTCGCTTTGGTCCGATAGGGTTTGTGGGCACCTGCTGATTCCATAGGGACAGAATGACTGATATTAAGTAATATAACATTCATGACTCCTAAGTCTCAAGTGGTATTTTTTTACATTTCAGGAATAAAAGTAAGACTGGTATGTCTATTGTCCGTACCCTCCTGGCTTTCCTGGAAATGTCATTTTGACAATTTTTTGGTATTCAATTCAAAGCAAATATAATCTTTCTGTTTGAATTTAAAAATCTATGTCAAATAAAATTTATACATTCAACTCTTATTATTAATAATATATAAAAGATGCATCTAATTTAATAATTTCATATCTTAAAGGCTTATAATTGTTGACAGGGATTGGGCAATAGGAAAGGGATGAAGTAAGACAATAGTGGTAGACTATGAATCAATTTCACTTCGCTTCACAATTTTCTAAATATGGCCTTCAAATTAATTGTTCAAGAAAGCATTTATTTTTTTTAGCTGTTGGGATATTGTAACGTTCTTTTTATATGAGGACACTTAATAGTCTCTCTCACTATAATAATTTTTATTTGAATTGGTTATTATTAATATTTTTTAAATTTGTGCAGAGAGATGAAGGATATGAGCCATGTAAGTAGTGATTAACTTGTATTTTATTGCTGTAAATTTTTGTGTCTACATGAGAAGTAGGTGAAGTACAAATATGTTTTACAGTGAATTTGGAGACTCAAATGGTAATTTTCTACCCATCATTTTTATTTTCCTTTCACATGTTCTTATTTTATACATCCTTTTATTTGAATCTTTAGAACACCTAGATCATGAATAGGCCATTTTGTTTTAAAAAATCAAGAGTGATGAATCATAGAAATTAATAGCCAGAACCAAATGAGAAAAAGAGAAAACTTTCTTTTTTCCCCTCACATAAGAAATATGTTAAAAAGAAAGGTTTAGCCTATGTTTAATATAAATGCATGAACGTATATTCCTATGAACAAGTGCAAGGCACAGTGAAGAATATAATTAAACTTTATAATATACTCAAGGGAGAGAATGAGATAGAAAAGGTATAAGTGGAGAAATGTAAATAGAAAATTTAAAGAAAAAATAGAAACATGAAACAGCAAAGAGAACAGACCAATGAGGAGACAAAGGCACCAAGAAACATAAAAGAAATGCACACATAGAGGAGGATGGACATATGGACAAATATAAGTGCCAACACGTGAAGCATGTGTAAAGATACACAGAGAGAACTTCAGAAGGGGCATGGAGATGCAGTAGGGCCAAAACAAGAGCACAGGAAATAAAAAGATGCAGACCCACTCATCTGGAACTGTTCTTAAAAAAAAAAAATGGTGGGTTGGCATTGACAAAGAGTGTTATCATACTCAATGATAATCCACATTAATGAAGATACACAGTTTTCTACTGTTAAATCTCATCTTTCAGCTTTTAAAAATACTCCCATTTAAGACTTTTGGATGTTATGTTATATTTTTACAATTATAGATATAAATGGGTCCTATGAGTCTGATGAAATAAAATTGGGAATCAGATGTAGTCTTTGCCTTTCTATTTACTTAAGAAAAACACAGAAACAACTACCCAAAACAAACATACAAACCAAAAAACCACCCCTACACTCCCCGCCCCTCACTGCACCCATACTTTTCTTTTTTTTTTTCCTTAATTTTTTTTGTTTTGTTTTGGTGAGGAAGTTTAGCCCTGAGCTAACATCTGTTGCCAATCCTCCTCTTTTTTGCTGAGGAAGATTGATCTTGGGCTACCACCTGTGCCCATCTTCCTCTACTTTATATGTGGGACGCCTGCCACAGCATGGCTTGACAAGCAGTGCATAGGTCCATGCTCGGGATCCAAATCTGTGAATCCCGGGCCACTGAAGCAGAGTGTGTGAACTTAACCACTATGCCACCGGGCCGGCCCCACTTTTCTCTTTTTAAGTCACCTGAGGCCCAGTGATGCCTAAAATATTAGATATTGCTGGTGAAGCAACTGATCCAACATACTGTTACTAATTTAATTTTAAAAAGAATTTTAAATTAAAAAAAGACTGACTTTGAAAGGAAATCTTTTGAAAGATATTTCTGTATTTATATATTATCCTGCTTTTAGGAAAACAGGAAGGGTATACTAACATAATGTAGCCATCTTTATGATTCAGGGTCATTGTTGTGATCATCATTGTGTGCCTACTAAGTGCTAATGCACATAAAGTGTCTAGCAAGGTGACCTGAATAGGGGAGGCCTCACACAGTGGTGGCTATCATTGTCCTGGTCATTTGTAATAGCAGTGACACGGTATTGATAGCTTAGTTATTACGATACTGAGATGTCCTCAGGGGCTATTTGAGGTTGCGGAGTTGACCAGCCCACTACTGCTTTATCATTTCAATTCACTTAAATTTTTATGTCTGTTTCTTGTGGTTTTCCTGCCTCCTCCCTTTCTTTCAGGTAGTTTTATTAATGCATCTAGCCTCTCCTCCCCTCCCCTGCCTCTCCTATTCTCCTTCACTCTTTTCCTCATTGTATTATCACACCATTAATCAGTTGTGGACCAAGAAACCAGATACCCAAACTTGTCTGAGGAGCCTCTCCTCAAATTTAAGTTTGTGACCTTTACTTTCAAAAGCCACTCTAATCCATTTACTAAGTCTTGAATGAAGTTCTTGGATTCATATCTGAGATGGTCATGAATATCAACTTCCCAAGATCTAAGCTGTTCTGAGAAACATGGGATGAATGTTAGTGTATTTTAGGAGAACCTGTACATTTTCTTTAGCCTAGTGAAGATATTTTTTATTCAGTAAAATTTAGCAAGCAAAGTAATTAAGGACTTTTATCTTCCCTTCTCTTCATTCCCGTGAAAGCAGGGGCTGACAAAGGGTGGGTAGGACAAAAGCAAGTATTGAGAAGCCAAAGGGAAGGGGAGAAGAGAGTCCACAAGTCTGGATCTCTGATTTGCTATGGAGAATGGGTGAGTCCTCAGCCTGTGACTGCCCACCTGCAAATAAGTTGACTTTAGGTAGGACTTATAGATGCATGGTGACTTGGAGCCACCTGGCCAGCATTGAGGGCTGGATCTGGTACTTCTAGAACTCCAGGATTCTTCAAAGGAATTTGGGACTTAGGCTACAACCAGAACACCTGAACATATCTCAGAGAATATCACAAGGAGGATTCCAGAAGGCCTTGTAGGTTCTGCTAAACATCTTAAATAAAGATGTGACCATTGTCAGGCCCCTCTCCTGCTGTTTGTTTGTTGCCCCCCTTCTCAGAGTCCCACACTGTGGCCTCAGACTGAGTTCTGCTTTAGTCCTTGTAGGACATTTGATCCTGTCCAAAACATCCATAAGACATTTGGTCTACACCAAAAGGTCCTTGACATTTGGTCCTGTCCAAAACATACCTGAGCATATTTGGCCCATGCCAAATGGTTTTGGACAGGACCAAATATCAAGGACCTTTTGACGTAGATTCAATGTCTCTATGGATGTTTTGAACAGGGCCAGATATCAAGGACATTTTGGTGTGGACCAAATGTCTGATGGTACTGTGGACAAGACCAGATGGTCTTGCCACTACCAAGGACCTAGTGTCTCCATGGATATTTTGGACGGGACAAAATATGACCAGATATCAAGGACCTTTTAGCATGGACCAAATGTCTTCTGGACCTTTTGGATGGGACCAAATGTCTGCTTATTGTCTTAGCAAGGATACTTCTAGCATCTCAGAAAAGGAACGGAATTGGGACTTGTGTTATGATGATGGGGACCATGGGGATGTGCTCAGGCACCAGATAAGGTCCTTAGGTCATTCAAAGCATGGTAGGCAAAGGACATAGAAA